AGTTTATTGAAATGGAAGTGGTAATTACTATTCATTATCAATACCACATATTAAAATTAAGTTAATAGATTTATTAAAAGTTTTACCAACCAAATAACAACATAAATCATAATATTCTTATAAAAACAAATAAAAATTATAACTTTTAAGACTACACTAATCATTTATATACTATACATTTTAATATTTTATATATTTAGAGTAATATAATGAAAACTATATTGTTAAAAGTATTTTAAATTTGTTTTCACTTAAGAAAAAGAAAATGTATTTGAATTAACACTGAAACCAAACATATTTATAAGCAGTGGTGTAGTGTAGGTTACACGCGGGTACACCGTGGCGTGTACTCACCTCCCAATTTTAGATTAATACGTCATGCGTGTACCTTTAACGAAAATCGTGGTTCGTGGGTACACTGACCATGAAGGCATATATACCTATTTATACCTAGACAATAAAATTTATTTAGGAAATATTATTGGGTAGTATAATATATTAAATAACAAAAAAAAGATAAGCGTCGTAAATTGTTTATATAAATATAAATAAAATCAAAAATAATGAAATATCAAGATTTGATTTTGTTAAGAACGGCATTTAAACACCAGACTATATAGTCTATAAATAATTTTATTAGATACTCTAAAAAAAAAAAATAAAAACGTTTTTCTTAAATTAAAAAAAAGTAATACCCTCACGCAAAGTTATATTCTTTAAGTGCTTAGACCGTTAAAGTGAATTGATCCATGAATGTTTTGATAAAATTATTACCTTCGTTTTCGCTTTTAAAATCACTGCGTATCATTATCTCTAAACATATTAGGTACCATGGAACTTTTACCCTTAGCAAGTTAGACACACAGTTAACAGGTTAACTGCTACGTTATTTTTCAGTACATTGCCAAAAGCGCTACGTGTRCCATTTTTGGTACACTTGTTRTTTTGCCAATATGTTTTTGCGTGCCTACTATGGTACACTTAAATACGATTTTAACACAGGAAAATATTTCGTAGCCCGCYAGACAAACAAATTTTCGACTAGCCCATTAATATCTTATAAATTAATTTGTTTAGGTAAAATTAGAATACGAATGGCAAATCAACCATGTACCAGAGATGGTACACATGGTGGTTAACCTGTTAAATAACTCAAAATCTACTCTTGTGAATTTTAAATTCTGATACATCAATTAATCTTTCAGAAAAATTATCCTCTGAATAGTGTACAGCTAAAAAGGAGAGTTCTCATTTAAAAAACAGAATCTGAATCAGTATCTACACAGGATACTACTTGAGTAGAACAAGAAAATTAAAATTCAAGAATTCAAAAATGTTTTTTTTAAGTGGCTATATATTTGAAAATTCTATCATATTTTAAATAACTGCAGTATTATTGAAGAATAAAGAGAGTGAGCATGATTGGCGAATCATTCCACAGTCTATATATATGGTAATTGGTAGGTATAGGTAGGTAGGTACTTATTAAGCTATAGGTATATATATGTTCAACACTCGGTTAGACAGCACAATTTCGTTTTATGCAAATTCACAGTTTTTTACCAAATTGTTCATACATATTTAAGGGCGTAGCCTTTTCTACTAAATTAAGAATTTAATCAGGGGAAGGGCTAATCTAATAATAATATTATGAAATCACAATCAATTGAGATAAATGAGAAAAATAATGTATTATCCTGCGGCAGGAGAGTTGTGTATTCAATTATTATTTTATTCCCTGGAAACGCCAGAGAAATACAGCTTGTAGGTAATAACACTAATAACTAATAGTATAATCTCTAACTTTAAAATACATTATTAAAAATGAAGCATCTGAATGAAAATCCCAGGTCCTATTGTAAGTTGATATTGTAGTAATTTTAAAATACTAAATGTACATTTGCACGATTTTTTTATAGCCATTTGAAGACTTGAAATCAAATTTCTACAAAATTCGTCAACTAGTTATTAACTAAGCAGTTAAAAAAGCTAATAACAAAATGTTCGCTTGTTATGGCTAAAAATTGAAATATTAGGTAGGAAGTACTTGGTTTCACAATTTTACATGATTGATCATACTAAACTAACTGAAAAATCTAAAAAAAAAATTATAAAACAGATTTTTATATACATTTTAAATGAATTTGGACGAAATTAGATGTTTAAATGAGGAATAAGGGTTTTAGTTATTTTTATGTAAATTAATGTAATTTAAAATTATTGTTTGTGGGAACATGAAATTTTTAATGTACCCTATACTTTACATTTTAAACATACAGTCTAGTTTCAAATACTAATATTTTGGTAAAACTAATTATTAGTTCGGATAATTATTTACCTGTATAATTTATAAATACATCATAAAATATGGCAACTTAGCAATATAGACTGTTTTCGTTCAGAATTGTTTTGTCTTTTGTGTATTATTGAATTTAAATTTAACACACTGTTATAGATACTTTATACTTTAAAGTGACCTACTCTTAAATTACGAGATAGGTGACAGGCAGGGCAGTTGCCTACTTTCCCCCTTTTTAATTTAAATTTTTTATCATTGTATCAATATATTTGTATTCTTTTATACGTTTTAATCTATAAAGATCTGAATTATTTGAATTAAGATAGCACCTATTACTAAAAAAATATTAAAACTTAATATTTGGGTGAGATGAAAACAATGTACAAAGTTGCCTTTCTTTAACACCTTACTATTAAGGATTTTAGATTCTGAACGGAGTGATGAATGTATTGATTTTACAATGATGTGTGTGTTTTTTTTTTGTGTCTGTGTACAGCATAACTAGTCGAAATAATGCTTCGATTTCAAACTTTGGGGGTGGTTTCCGATGKAAAAGTGAATATCCTTGGTGCATTATAGAGGTTAAATGTAAACGTTTTCTAATAGTTTTCAAAAAAATCGATTTATTTATATGGTTGTAATTCAAAAACTAATCATTGTAAATACTTGAAATTTTCACCAAATGTTTATGTTAGTGTTATTATAGATAACAGTTTAATTTTCAAAATGTTTTGACTTTTTTTGAGTTATTTATAGACAACTGACATTTTCGATTTTTATGAGAATTTTTTTTTTGAAATGTCGGTAAAAAAATGTTGAATGACCAAAAAAACTTGAAAATTTAATACAAGGTTCGTTTTGAGTTGTTCTTATTTTACATAAAAACAATTAAAAATCGTAAGTGACAATTTTTTTTTACAAGCGTTTCTAGTTCAAATTTTTACGAAATCTGTCAAAAACGCGAAAATTCTTAAGTAATTTTGAAGTTGAAAATCATAAAATTGTTTGTGTTTATAACTAAGGATTAAAAATACAACACAAGTTTTCCTTCAAGTAGCTATAGAAAAAACTCGATGCATCATTATAGGGAAAATTTTAAGTGCGTTTGAATTTTAAATTTTTACGAAATAGCATAGCGATAACGGTTTATCCTCAAGCGATTTTAAATATTTGTTATTATTCAAAAAGTATAAGTTGTAGATACATGAAATAAATACTTGAAAATTTAAGACAAAGTTCCTCATAAGTTATTCTTATAGTGATTAAAAAATTATAAGAGTACATAGACACAATTTTTTTTTATTAGCATTTGAAGTTCAAACATTGACAAAAATTCGTCAAAATCGTGAATATTTGCAAATTATTTTGTAGTTCAAAATTCATAAAATTATTTGTATTTATATTTAAGGTTAAAAAATTCAACACTAAGTTTTCCATAAGTTTTGCTTTAAATAGCTATAGAGAAAACTCGAAGCGTCATTATAAGAAAAATGTTTTGAGCGTTTGAGTTTAAAATTTTTATGAAATCGGGTATATATATATCTATGATAATATAAGGTATTATGAATTATGATAACTAAATGCAATGTTTTTGGAAAAATTGATTAACCATGCCTTGTGCAAAATGCGTCCTAATTGAAAAATAAAATATTTGTTTAAAAATAGAATATATGACAATATTTAAATATAATATATCCTAAACTGACAAAACATCTCCGTTCAGAATCGTTTTTAGTATACTATGATACCTATCATTGCATTCAAATTTAACCTACCATAGTCAGAGGTCCACCCCACCCCCTAATTAACAGCAGAAAGGAACCACTTACCCGCTTTTTTAGATTGAGTTGTCGAAAAAATTTAAATTTTATAAACAAGTCATCAAGTTCCCAAAAATATCAATATTTAATGATAGGTAAGTACATCAGTTAACAGTTTACTTTGGTTTTTTTTTAACTGTGCCTATTCAAATTTTTAATTAGGTATATATTATATAAGTGTCATAGGTACGTTTTAATGATTAAAAATTATAATTTTGATCTTGATCAGTGGTGATGGTCGGGCTTACATAATATCTTTTTTTCCTTGTTTAAATGAAGACATGAAGTGCAAGAAATATTTGTTTTTTAAATCCTTTATGTAACATTCCATTTAAATATTATACATATTATATATATTATATACATATTCCATGCAAAGTTAGGGAGAACAATGAACTTAGTTTTATATTTAATTATTTATTAATTATTATCCAAACACTAAAAGCGGTTCTAATATTTTATATTACTTACTTAATATTTAGCACCTAGGTATTTACTTGTTTGTACAACTGACAAAACTATTCATTTATTCCAAACATTTATAATATACAATATACAATTGGATATAAATATATTTTGTTAAAATTAGGAATATATGTTTTTGTGTGAATCGATATTTCTTTAAAAATATGATATGGTTTTTTATTATTGACTTTATCAATAAATGCTTTTATTTTCATATTTTGCATGATTTGCTACTAGAAAAAAAGGTGGTTAAAACAATTTTTCCGTTTCAAAAATGTATAAGCCATACCTTGAAGCAGGAAACATAACGAGCACTGTGTATTTTCAAACACTCTCGTCTTTTACTCTCATTTGGATTAAAAAAAAAACACAATCTAAAAATTTTAATGAAGGTAAATTCAAAAAATATATGGTGGTAAAATGGCACACCCTATGCCTATAAACATTTATTTTCGAGTGAACATCAATAATTTTACATAAAAAATTATTTTTGGACAAAAACATAATGTAACTAAACATTTATACACATTTTTTCAACATAATAATGTGATGTAATCAACTAATTTTACAAACTAAAACATTAAATAGGTAATGTATAACTGATTAACAATTAAATAAAAAAAAAAACTATGTAAATCTTACACAAATATCATTTGTATTAAGTAGATTGTTAGAAAAGTTGAAATTTTGAAATATAGCATAATATAACATATGGCATTCCCAATTTAACATTAGTTGTACAATACATTTTCAATAATTTGAGGAGTATAATACATAAAAGAATTCAAGAACCATTTATTTTAAAATGAAAAAAAAAATTCAATCATTTTCCTGTCATTATCAAAAATTATATATGGCACTACAATAATAATCAATGCATTTGTTGGATTAATCTGCGTAGGTTAAACATTAGCCACGTATAATATTATTATTCACATTTTTCATTTACACAATTAGTTTAACAGATTTTTTTAAAACAATCTTGGAGAACATTTTTCTAAAATTATAAATGGCGATTAAAAAAATTCACAAAACACAATACTATTTTAAAGGAACATCGATACATATTATCATACTAAGAACATAGATTAAGTACAAAATTTTTTCGATGAACGGAGGGTAATAGCTAACAGGAAATATTAATTAACTTTTAACGTATAACAAAGATACTTTTAACGTATAACAAAGATACTTATAACAAAATTATACACAGAAAATTCAACAGAAACATTTAAAGGATAACTCAAAAACTAAATAATACAGAAGAACAATTAAAAACCTATCAAAATGTATGTACAATATTAATCTATGTCAAGAGTATATTGCCATTAATGTACGATAATAATTATGATAAAAATAATAGTTGTTAATATTATTAGTAATATTAGTATTGCACACACATCTGAAAACAATTATTGCTGTATAAAAACTTATTGAGATTACAATTCCAACAATGACGGTGAAACAAACAAAGCAGTTTCTGTGAATAAATAGATATAATATTCTGATGGCAACTATTAAAACTGGTTCTATGTGTATAGAAAAAAAAAACTATTCAAATGTAAAAACTTAAAACTTGTTTACGTACATAGTACATGTAAATTAATTCTATTACAGTAGGTAATAATTAAAATAAAAAGTAGTTTGTTGGTCAGTATCGGGTTAAAAAAAGTTAAAACAATTTGTTCATAAATTTATTAACTTTTTTGAAAACTTTTCTGAATTTACTTGTGGCCCCCTTTATTTTAGGCCGGACCACATGATGATAGTCTCATTCGTTTTTTGTTCGATCGGGTCGTTTTTTCCATTCATCGCCTTCATGATCAGAAATAGCCTCTTCCAGAGATGCTAGATTTGGTTTGCTACACACTTCTTGATTAAAAAAATCATCATCCTCAAAAGGGTCTGTGTTTCTAGAAAATATATTTATGGACTCGGATTTTTTCATCTCTTTAGGTGAATTGCATATTTCTTCTTGAGAGATTTTTATATCTTTTGCCACAAAAACATCATCATCTTTAAAACTGAATTCACTTGACATACTACCTTTGGCAGCATTATCTGGAGTAAAATCATCTTCAAAGGGAGAACGCTTTGTTCCTTCAGTTTTGGGGTTTGAATCAATAGACCTATGACCACTATCTGAACGTTTAGGTTTTCTTATATTTCTATTTGTTTTAGAACTAGTGGACGGAGATGGCTTAGTAAGATATCCTAAATCAGAACAAGTACTCATCGTTTTGGTAAATAAAGAAGAATCCGGGCTATCAGGTGTAAAGTTATCATCAAAAGGAGATGTCTGATTACGTTTCAAAGACCATTTATTTTTTGATCTTCTGGACCAATTTTGTTCTAATTCAGATTCACTTAAATCCAATTCTTCTTGACTATATGGCTTTCTAGGTGGAATGTTGTGGTCTTCATCACTACCATCACTTCGACGGTGGTATGACCTCCTTGGTTTTCTGGGTGTCGTTGAAGAAACATATCGATTTTTTTTTGGTAATCTATAACGCATTTTTACATCCTCATCATCGCTATTATCAATAGGAGGCCTAGAATAGTTTTTGAAACTTTTTGGAATTGGAGGCCCATACCTATCCCAACTGTATTGTTCTTCAAGAAATCTTCTTCGCCTTTCATATATCAACCTTTGATATTTTTCATCTTCCCAGTTTGGCGTAGATGGTAATTTTTGAACTCTTCTATCAATATCGGGCCGAGCGTAAACACGCCTTTTATCATCTTTTGATGGCCTTCTCCGTTCATCATCCTTGTGTGGAACTCTCCAGTGTGGAATCATATATGGTGACTCCCATTCATCATTATATCTGGTACCTTCATCCCATGGAGATGGTTCACGACGCCGAGGTGATATTTTACGATTACTCCTACGATTAGGCTTTCTCTCATAATAAGGTTCATCTTCATACATAGATTCTCCATCACTCCAACCATTAACAGTTCGAGGAAAGTCTTCAATTGAACTTTCTAAACTTCTTTTTGCAGTATCCCAATTGTCTTCAGATTCTTCACAATCATCCCAACTTGATGAACATTTACTACGATTTGAAGGTACTTTTTTCAAATTAACTTTAGGTTTAGTGGTTGGTGGTTCTCGATCATCTGCAGCCCAAGGAGAATTTGGGTTTTTGGTTACTTCTGGTTCAACATCAAAAGTCGCCCAACATTGAGCATTATCAAACAGTTTTTGACATGTGTTATTTTCAATCACTTCAGGATTTATTATTGATGTACTAACATCTTTTTTTAAAACTTCACATTCAACTGCTTCTTTTATATTCTCTTTTTTAATGGCACAGTTTTCTTCCTCGTATTCATCATCTTCTTCTTCTTCGTCATCGTCATCTACTCTTATATCATCATCCTCATCATATTCCTCAACTTCTACATTTTTCTTAGTTTCAACAACTTCAATATTTTTTTCCTCTTCAGTTTCAAATACTTGGTCATTATTTAATTCAACCTCACTTTGTTCTAAGATATTGGTGTTTTGATTTGATTCAACAATTTCTTCTATTGGAAAGTTTTCTAATGATTCTTCTTCGTTCACAGGTGCTTTTATTGGAATATCTCTGAGTGCAGCATATTTATCATTTTCTTTAACTACAGTCTCACTAGTTTTTTCTTCGTTTAATAATTCTCTAAATACTGCATATTTATCATACAAAGATTTTTCCGGTTCTTTCTTATCTTCTTCAGTCTTTTTAGGAATACTTTGTGTTTCTTCACTACTGTTGATAGTTAACTGGGACAAACGGAAAGTCAATTCTTTTAAAGTCATTTTGGATAAAGAAGTGGGTGATATTCTCAAGGTATCTGCTAAATCACTAAACCCTGTTTTTGTTAATTGACTTAATGTTATATCAAGTGAAGTAGACACATTTGATTTTGATTCATTACTAGTTTTTCTTACTGAAACAGGTACTAAATAATATTCTGAATCAACTTCTTCTTTCTTTTTTTTACTGTCACTTTTTGGTTTTCTAGATGGTAATGGTAATGGTGGGGCTTCATTTTCTAGTTGTGTAGATGGTAAATTGTAGGAACTAACATAATTTTCTATATAGTCATAATGACTATTGCGAGTACGTATTGGTTTCACAGTTTTAGAAGGTATTTGCTGTTTTTTAGGCGGCAAAGGTGGAGGGTCTAATGAAGATGAAGGTCTTGGTGGAGGTTCAGGAGCAATGTCTATCCGTTGTGGCAATGTCATCAATTTCATAATAGCATAATCATCATCAGGTGAAGTTGGGTTGTCATTTCTATAATAATCTGGACTTGGAGATTTTCTCATTTTTATTTTTGCTCTATTTTTGGACATTAAGTTATACTTAGGTGATGTAGATATATTATATGGTTTTTGTGTTTCTGGCGGAAGAGATACCTTCAATAATCCTTGAACAGAATTTTGTGATGATGAACTATCACTTTTTAATAAAGGAGATTTGTGTTGCAATTGTGGTGAGACTGGTTTCAGAGATTCAAAAGAAGAAAAATCAGCAAACTCCATTTCGACAGAATTTGAATGAGATTTTTCAAGATTATCAGTTTTGAAAGGATCTTCAATAACTCCACTAGTATCTTTAAAAGACAGATCAGAAGAAAATGAATCACTCACAGTTTTAGAAGGCAAACTTTGAGGTTGTTGCTCTGAAAATTTTTCATTTTCATATGCAGCTAGTTGATTTAATATTTTCTTTGGAGGATTTTTGAGCTCTTGAAAGAAGTCTTTCTTGTCTACATAAGGTTTACTACGACCAGTCCCTAAAGGATCTAGTTCAGTAAAAACATCAAATGCATCACACTTAATTGTTGGACTCGTGCGGTTAGCTGATTCAATAACCTAAAAATAAAATATTAAAATTTACTTATTTGGAATTAATATTTATAAAATAATTTCATTTATAATATTTCTACAAAATTCTAAACTTGTTTCTATCATTATTAATATAAACTAGTTAACTGTACTTTCTTTATTAATACAAAAGAAACTATGAATTATAACTATTTAATATTTTATTATTATATACATCAAGGATATACATCTTTAATTAATAATTTTGAAAAAATTACAATTTTAAAAACTATACTTAACTATACTATATAACAGGGGTCGCCAACCTTTTCAAACAAATGAGCTACATTTGAAATTTTTAGCCCCAGGTGATCGACATCTA